CCCCCCTCATCATGATTACCCAACAGATCTCATATTCCAAGTATCCGCATCGAAATACCGCTACAAATATCTTTTTCGAAAAATCAGTTTTTGATGCTTTTTTGACCCTGCGGACATACAAGCAAGCAATCAGACAATTTATGTTTACTGAACTCTTCTCTACGAGAAATGGAATAATCTAAAAATTTGATCTTCACACAATTAATTCCTCAAACATTAAAATGATTTGACAAATTCACCAATATATATTAATTTCATATCAAAATATCGCAAATACAACGCTTAAGAAACGTTACTTGTCTTTCTCTTATAGTAATATAAAAATAGACTCAATACTACATGTCTAATTTATGATCTATCGATCATTAGAATAGCGTCTACATCATAGTCAACATCGATCGAATGAGACCCTTCCGGAAGGATGAAATCGCGATCACCGGATACTTCATACATATCTATACTCACACCCAATCACGTGAGTCTTGGACATTGAAAAAATAACTACTGCTTTCTCAGTCATTCGGATCATTTCTTCTTCGAATAAAATAAAACCTATATGGTTTACCTCGCACACGAACTAATATTGAACATCATCATTTTCTAAACAATCTCTACATTCTACAATAATTTCTCCTAACACAGCTTCCACTCATTGAACCTTTGTTATAACTAACCATTACAAGAAATATCATCTAGCATTCATTAAACTTCATTATAGATAACACTTATGCACATTAACCTACACAAACCGTCAATAATCATCTGCTATATTCCTATTCGCTTAAAACGAATATAGATGTCACTATATCTCAGTAAAGCAAAACAAGTTATTCACCGTTTTGTTTCTCACCATGAAAAAACCAATATATAACGAATTCACAAACAGTATAAAATGTATTATTCTGCTTCAATAGAATAATACCGATTCAAACAAACCGTCTGATGAGACCCTTAAGCAAGGTCGAAATCGCGATCACGGAGTGCTTCATACACACCCACACCCACCCACACCCACACCCGCACCCACACCCACACCCACACCCACACCCACACCCTCAAAAGAAACGAATAGTATATATAGAAAAGAAAAGAAGGAGAATATGTAAAATATGTTTACATTTTAGACTCAACGCATCATTCATGATGACTCAAAAAGAAAAGAAAAGAAAAGAAAAAGGAACAATGTGATTATATATCACATTCTTAATAAAATCCACATAAGAAAGAATGAAAACTTGAGTCATCGCTAACAATTAATAATCATGTTTTCGATCATCACTTCACAATACTCTTGATTATAAAATTTACAAATGAATTGAAACCGATCTTGGTAGCTGTTCACACACATATATTGAAACTATCTGAAGAGGCTTTGAAATGAAGCTGAATCGTATCGTGGTGTTCTACTTATTTAAATATGCCCACTTCCCTCAAAATTTCTATTATTATGATTTCTTTTTCAGATATAGTCTTTATAATCACTATATTATCTTGATCATGCATTCCAACGATACTAATAATGAACTGATCAATGTTCCACAGCATATTCAAAAGCAACAACAATATGAACAAAAGAAGAAAAATCGTGGAAATCCAAAACTACAACGTTATCGTCGAAAACTTCGAAAGTACGGTATGAATCCAGATGATATTATCAGTTTGGTAGCTCCACAGACCGATATTGATTCACAGGAAAGCAGCAACATTTTAAATCAAACTGTAATATCCAAACAATGTTTAGTTTCATCGAAGCAACCAAGAAAAAATATGAAAATAAAAAAAAATTTAAAACGTCTTACACACATAAATGAGATTAATTCATTCAAAACGATTCAAAGTTTGAAAACGATATGGATAATTGAACATAATTTAATCGATTACACAGATATATCTGATCAAACCTTCTTTCACATATTATCAACAGCTTGTAATGGCAATATTGATAAACATAACTGTTTGTTGAATGAAAAACACAAACAAATTCAATTAGTTCGTCATTATGCAACTTTAATCGATCGATTATCTTATGCGAAACTACAAGTACTACAATGGAACTATTATCATCACATAGGTACTACACAACATATTGGAACACGTCGAATATCAAAACAATTGGCTGAGAAGAATTCTATATGTTATACATATGGCAAACCAAAAACATTAATTGATCAACGTCTCAAAAAGAGTCAAGAAGAGTTACAACAAGCACAACATGCCGTTCAATATTTTGAAGAAATAATACTCTGCAATGCTGCACCTCATATGGATTGCCATTCAGAGATCCAATCATTGTGCTCTATTCTTCAGAAATTCGTTCATCAAATGCAAGAAAATATACGAGATGAATTCGAATATAAAAGACGAAAATTGTATTTGGATTCAACTGATCATCAATTGGTTCAAGCATTTTTCGATTTAAAGCCAGATAAATCACAAGTGAGTATATATATTATACAATCTTCTCTTTTCTTTTTCAGTATGTTCATGATATCTCAATGATTTTAGATTGCAACGGCAAGACATGTTTGGAAAACTACAGCGAACCAGACAATGATAAATGAACAAGTTACTTTATTGAAAAAACGTTGTTCATCGAAACAAGTACCACCAGCATCTATTCTTCTTGATTACATGATTCATCATATTGGTATTATGCTTTCGAAACCAAACCATACTATTGAACAAAATGCATTAACAAATATTTCACACGATCAATTTGAAAAAATAAATCAATCAAAACATGACATTATCCAATTCCAAATGCAAAGTGCTGTGATCAACGCCATAGAAGCTTGTCGATTGCATATGATTAAACGTGCTGAATATCTACTTCAATACAAATTAGTAACATATTTCACATAGTCATGATCATATGGAAGACACAACAGCTACAAATTTTGGTAATAACACAGCAGAAAAACTATGTATTCACTCTCAATAACACTATATTAACTCTTTATTCGTTATCATTATATTTATCTCCTTTCTTTTTTATCTGAACTTAATCTAGCAACAAGTGCATGCATGAAAAAGACTCTATTATATTTCTATCCTATTTTAGATAATTACATTTCTTTTAATTAACATACCGTAGTAACATTAACTATCGAAAATAAGACTAAAGCCAAAACCAATACTCAATTCTACAATAAAGTTTATTATTCATAGTCATTAGCAATAAGACACCAACATGATCTGAATCTAAAAAACAAACAAAACATCAAATTCTCAATACCAACAAAAATAATATTCAAACCACTGGATACACCACGTACATTTACAAATCATTACGATCAACAGCCTACCTGCCAAAATAAACTTCCATAAAATATCAGAACACTAACTCAAACAAATATACAAAACATCGTTCATCTAACAGCAGTTAGTCCCAATCTTAACTTTCAAACACAATCAACCCTGATTTCTGCTGTTAAACTTCACTTTAGTAATCTAATTTATTAAATGCTGTTTATTATGCAGACTACACTGCCAACCGTCTAGATCACTGAACAAAATCCCACATGCTATGGCACTTCTTTTTACTTTAAAACACACAACCACGAACCCGTTCATGGCATTTGTTCACAATGCTGCAAACTACAAATTATGTTTACAAGTTCGTCTAATCTCACATAAATTAAGCTTTGATTTCGATTGAAGTGCAAATCATTTATTTAATTTGTATTTAATCCCAGTTCAGTTTTTCATCAAACCAACCGATGAAATTCGTAGCTGAATCGAAACCGGTCATGGCAGCTCTACACACGACTGCTAACGATCGATATT